TCCTTTTGGGGATTCCCTTAAAGGATCCTAAATCTAAAGTTGGTTTAACCAAAAAAGGAACTACAATGGAGGCTATAGGTAGTGCGTCTGGTCTCAAGATCCTGTAATGACAGGGTTTCGGGTTCAGGAGGAGTGCTGTAGCGACAAAACCTTTCGCTACTTGAGGCCTGTATTGCTCCCCGAATTTTCTGTAACCTCGTTCCATGAAAGTCAAGATTAATGCGGAGGCAGCATGTAGTACAATCTGACCGTCTGTAACAGTGAAAATCTAAACCAACACTGCCGACACACCTCAACACAATAAGACTGGGGCCTGAAAGATTTGAATAGGGTTTGAGGGCCTGTGTCTATAGTACCATAATATGCGGACCGTACGGGCAGGCAAAGACTATTCCTAATCGTTTAGACCTCTGAAGAATGCATCCAGGGTTAGGTTGTTATGGGTAGTTCTCAGGCTCGCCGTGTCTAAATGGTTGGATGCCGTGTTTTCATACTTGGCATCGGATGTCATCGCGGACTCGACCAGCACATAAAGTAACGCAAGGATGCCGCAGCTGCGACCTAAACCCTAAACCCTAAATTCCGGCCGCCCTTGGGCCCATCGCGCTGGCCCTTGCAGCCGTCGCCGTCGCCCCTTTCTCTTGCAGCCATGACACTTCCGCCAAGGGCCCAGAGTCCATCGCCCTTGCCCTGCGCCTAAGAGTCTGAACCCGTTTTGGGCGTACGGTTTATGGGTGGTTGGTCGGGCTAAGCCCCAACCCTCACGACCCCAAACCCAAAAATACCGAACGTTCCCGAAGTCTGAACTGCAAACACCAGACCCGACCCCAAACTCAAACTAAAATGTTCAACCTCGATATATCTGAACCCTAAACATCCACAGAAAAAAGCCTCAACACGAAAGTCAGAATGGAAGCCCTAAAAACCCTACCTCAATCCAAACTCCTAAACACCAAAACCCCCGAACCCGAACCCGTGAACCCCTACACCCGAAAGCCTAAACCCTAAACCCTAAACCCCTGAACCCTAAAGCCCTAAACCCCAAAGTCCTAAACCCTGAACCGTCTGGTCCTCGTCTCGTTTCAGCTCTGCAAGCTCCATGAAGGCCCAACACCTAGCGGGCTTTTGGGGGGCCGGATCCAGCCGCATCTGTTGGCTTTTGCTCGGGCTTAGGGGTTTAGGGTTTAGGGTTTGGGGTTTAGGGTTTGGTTTCGGGTTTGGGGTTTAGGGTGTGCGGTTTAGGGTTTGGGGTTTCGTCCTACATCAGGTTCTAGGACTTTGAGAGATTACAAGAAGCTTCGGGACTATCTGAGGGCTAAGCCCTAAACCCTAGACCCTAAACCCTAAACCCTAAACCCTAAACCCTAAACCCTAGACCCTAAACCCTATAGACCCTAAACCCTATAGACCTCCCAGGGTCTGAGGATGATTCTGGCCTTTGAGTTGTGCGTTCTTGGTTTTGGGCTCCGGGGCTGCCTGGCTCCGGCTTCCTGGGCCTCGAAGAGGGTTTAGGACTTAGGGGTTTAAGGGTTTCAGGGTTTAGGGGTTTAGGGGTTTAGGGGTTTAGGGGTTTAGGGGTTTAGGGGTTTAGGGTTTAGGGTTTAGGGTTTAGGGTTTTACGGGTGTAGGGTTGGGCAGCTCCGGATCTAGCAATTTCTAGTCGAGCTCAACTCGGGACACCCTGCCACCCACCCAAGATTCCCAATATCATTGGGAAACCATTATACCTTTATTGGACTTGAAAGCTGAAATCCTAAACCCTCAACCCTGGCCGTAGGCCCAAAAACCGGAGACTGTGACTGAAAGCCCCAAAGCCTAGGCGCTAAACTAGGACCCAAGCCCTAAGCCCCAGACCCTAGCCGTCGAAATCGCCATATTCTAACGAAGGCCCGGTCGAGCGGCTCTTCGTTGGAATGTGGCTGGCGAGGTCATTTCGCTAGCGGAATCGCAAATTCCAACGAAGAATTCGTCTGATTCCAACGAAGGAAGGGCCGGCTTCGTGGGAACATGACGATTTTTTGGCGAGTAGATATCGCCAGATTCCCACGAAGGGCCGGCTTCGTGGGAATTCGGCGATTTCTGTGGCGAGTGGATATCGCCATGTTCCCACCAAGCCGGCCCTTCGTGGGATTCTGGCGACTTCTGTGGCGAGCAGACATCGCCAGGAAATCGCCATATTCCCACGAATCCGGCCCTTCGTGGGAATGTGGCGATTCTTTTGGCGGGCACCCTAAACCCTAAACCCTGGACCCCTAAAACCCGAAATCCTAAACCCAAAATCCTAAACCCTGAACCCCCAAATCCTGCGCCCCTGATCGTTTCAGGTGGAGAATCCCGGCTACACGTGGACTTTGAAGTAGAGCTCACCTGAGCCAAAACATACTCTATAACCCGAAGCCCTGAACCCCTAAACTCGCAAAAAATCGCGACAAGACCTCGTCGAAATCTTTTTCTTCTTCGGCTTGTAGTGCTTAAACTCGAAGAAGATCGCAGAGCCCCTCGGACGGCTTGAGGCTTGCAGGGCTAAGCCTATGGCTCAAAAAGTTGCCGACGATATCCCACGTCCCGTCTCTAAGGGAACTACAGGTTAACCTTTGGGATGATATAGGGATTATAAGAACTACCTTAAAGATTATAAGAACTACCTAAAAAAAGGTTAAAGGTTACCTACTCTACTACTAAGATTTTAGGGTTCGTACGTCCATAGATCGATTGCCAGCACAGGACAGTTCCTGGGGTTTTGGGGCTAGAGGTAGGGACTTCAAGGTCCCAAGACCCCATTACTGTTTAGGGTTTAGGGTTTAGGGTTTACCGTTCCCAAAACCCCAAAAAGACCATCAGTTGCCAAAAAAGGTCCTACACCCCTACACCCAATCCCAGGCCCCCTAGAATTCCGGATAACCCCTAGAGCCTGCAAACCCTAGACCCCTAGAAGGTCATGACTTCGGGGAGAGGACTTAGACCTCCAGAGTTGCCTCAAACAAATGGGTAGTTGTCAATATCAGGATCCTATTTTGGGATACCCTAAATAATCGGTGCCGTATTGTAGTAAGGACCCAAAAAGGGACCCTAATTTTGACAACCACCCATATGATTTTTTTCTTCTGGGGGCTTGTGAAGAAAACCCTAAACCCTACAAACCCTGGAACCCCGAAAGTTCCTGCCAAGAAGCACGCAAGACAATCACGTAGTAGGTGATGGTCCCGGGGCCGAAGGTTTTAAGATTGATTTCAAAGCGCAGGGGCTCTGCGCCGAAGAAAGAGATTCAAGTAGAGACTATTTAACCCTAAACCCTCAACCCTAAACTGGGTGATATACTTTACTTAAACTCTCTGGACTCAAACTCTTGAATCCTGCAGAAGTCCCAATCTCTGGCCCTAAGCCCTAAAGTCACCTAAAATCCCGAACCTGCCAAAATGAGGTCGCTACGACCTCTCCATATCTTCGTAGGACACATTCAAGTATACCTGAGAAGGGGGTACTCTGGGTCGAACTGGAGCAGGACGATTCAGGGAGTTAAAGCTCTGGGAAAGGGAGGTTTTGGCATTTAATTATAGGGCTTTGAGGGTTGGGGCCGAGAGTTTAGGATGTGGGGCTTGGGTTTCTTCGACCGGGTTTGGGTTCAGAGCTAACGTAGGATCTGATCTTTTTCTGCGCAGATCCTGGGGCTTCTATGACAGAGACGAGCTCAAAAAAGCAGCTCAGCTCTCACATTACCGGGGCCTTCACAACTAATGTAAGGTTTGGAGGGTACTTGGATACTGTAGTCAGACCCTCAACCCTAAACCCCTAAACCCTCAAACCCTAAACTCCTACACAACGACGGAGCTGCATGGCGTGCTAGCACTAGTAGCACTCACTCAAATTCCCAGAGAACCACACTCTTCGATGGGTCACGGCCTATGTCGTGAGCCTGAATTTCAGGCTTGAGGACAGTGGGGCAGACTCCAAAACCCGAGAACAAGATGGGGAGTTTAGGGTTTAGGGTATGCATCCTGCCGAAATCTTCGTAGATCACAACTTATTGCGACACGTTGTTTCGAATACAACTTATAACAGTGTTATCATCCTAAACCACTGCTGATGCTACTAACTCGTCTTGCCTGGTTGGATAGTGACCCAGTGCGTTACGCGGAAGTATCGGGTATGAAGCCTTCCACGACGACCTGTAAGCTAGAAGAATCCTCGGCAAGCCCAATGTCGACGCCTCGAAAGACTAATGCTTTCGGCCGTTCGAGGGCTGTGTTTCCTTCAACTTTATTTAACTACCCCCTAGAACCTCAAGTAGTTCCATTTTGGGGTTCATATTTAGAACCCTGCCTATAAGGTAATCCCCAAAACGAACTACTATGGGGCCTATGGGTAACCCACAGAACCTAGACCCCCTCACCATAAACCCTGAACCGTGTATTGCAAAAGGGAGGGCCGACTGCCAGCTGCCAGCCCTCAGCAGAACAACTTGTCACTTTTAAAGGAAACTACAGGTGGGGAGTTTAGGGTATATAGGGCTTCTATAAAGCTTCTATAAAGTATATAGATCTTCTATAAGGCTCCTATAACGGCAACTACCCACCTGAACATGTCCTTGTCACTTCCCTCTGCAGAAGCCCACAGGGGTCAGGCAAGGGGTTTGCCTCTATAGTCTCCATTCTAGTTCCTTTTTGGGGATACCTTATGAAATCCTTAATATATAATGGGTTAAACCCGAAAAAAGGAACTACAATGGAGACTATAGGTAACACAAAACTCCATCAGCCCCATACTGTAAGGCCCCTAAAAAGTCTCAACCAGGGTTTGCTGAACCCTGAACCCCCAAACCCTTAGAGTCTTGCCTTAAGAACCCAAAACCTACTTTTTTGTAGGGTCCCTATAAATCCTATATTAGGGTTTATAATAAGAGCCTACAAAAAAGTGGGTTTTGGGTTCTTAAGGTGTCTATCAGCCTCCCTAAACCCTAAACCCTAAACCCTAAACACTAAACCCTAAACCTGTCTATCAGCCTGCTGATTGAAGATCACGTGCGTCGCCCTTCGTTCCGACCCGAAGTTCCTGACACCAGGCTTCGTTCTTTAGGGCTCCGAGTTTGGGCTTCGTTCTTTAGGGCTCCGACTT